AGATTTAATATTATTAATAAACTTTTTAATTTATTTTATAAAATGTGATGTATCAGAAGTGATGATACGGCCTATAGAAACTTATTATATAGCTCTGCAACTTTTAGCCTATTTCCTTTAAGAATCTTATTTTCAAATGCTTTATACTTCATTAAAAAGCTTAGCAGTCTTACTGAACCAACTATTGCATCTTCTAAATCTATGAGTACAAAATTAGGCTATTGGATTTTATTTGCTAATTTTTTAATATAAGTATAACTAATCAGCTCTAGTGTGGTACTTCCTTCTTTATTTTTAAGTATTGCTTTACATTTTTCTGACTAAATTTTTATTTTATCTATATTTGAATCATTAGCAATTGCACTTAATATTAAACAATTGCTTATTATATTGGTATAAATGTCTTGGGCTTTGGGATGTTTTGAATATTAATTTGTAATTATTTTAGATATTGATCTTGTTATATCTAAAATATAAAAAAAGCATTTAGCAAAATAAAACAAAAAATAATTAATTAATTACTAATAGACATACATTGCTTTTTGATTGTAGAGGTTTGTTTATGATTATCTTTATATTTATTGCCTTCATTATATCTGTTACCTTTATTATATCTATTGCCTTCATCATATCTGTTGTCTTCTTTATCATATCTAGCACCTTTATTATATCTACCATTTTATAATATATATTGCCCTTCTCAGATTTGTCACTATCACTATTCTCTTCTTTATGAGTATTATTACCCTCTTTATTATATTTTATAATTAAAAAATCTTATTAGTTATTTATTTATAAACATATATTTAAATATTTTTACTTATAAATTCTAATACCTTCACTCATAGAAAATATATAGAGCTCTTTATATTTGACTTTGTAACTCATTTTATTGTCGCAGGAATCCAAGCTTACTTCAAGTATATTATCTATCTTACTAGATAATTTGCTTGCAAAATTGAAATCTTCTTTAGATCCAAGCTTTTGGTAGCAAAATTGTCTTTGACTATTATCTGTATATATAACTTCAACTTCATTTACCAAAAACTAAATACATTTAATATGATTATTGATATTGAAGAGTCTTGCCAAGTATTTAGCATGCATTATATTGTTAATAATGTATTTAAAAATTAAATTAAATAAATAAAAATAATAATTAAAATTCATAAAAAATTAATAAAAATTAATATTATTTAAAAATTAAATAATTAAATAAAGTAAGTTATAGAACACAAGACTTGAGGTATGTAGCAAAAAAAAAAAAGTAGAGATAATTAATTAATTAATTAGAAATAAATAAATAAATAATTAATTAATTAATTAGAATAAAT